CCCCCCCCCCCCCCCCCCCCCCTATCGTCATGCGGTCAACATTCCTGATACTTCTTGTAAACTAACCGGGCTGAACCACCTAACGATTTGTGCCTTCCGATTGGGACAACTCACATGCATGAAGCATGAATGTTTTACTTTTTTTTCCGGTTTTGCTCGAAATCTCTGCAGGCAGGTTGTTATTTGACAGCCTATTACTTGGCGAGTCAGGCGAACGTCCACATTGCGCATGGCTTGACCCCTTTTTTCTTTTTGCTGAGTCGGCCGACAGCATGGTACCATTGGTCATAATGTTTGTTTAATGATAATCATTCTCATGTCTAAGGCGTGATGGAACATTGTCATCTGGTGAGGCAGGATGAGGAACGATACCAGAGTGAGCCCACCGTGCGTGCAATGCACTTGAACAAAAGACCTGAAAAATAATAACACAAAACGCAAATACAGAAGATGCGGAAGTTATATTCCGTGGATGCACTTCTCTATATCCTATATTATGTGTATGCCCCGGTCAAAAGTCTTTTATTTTCACCACATGTAGCCAGGATTTTTAAACCACTTTGAGATCAAACATGGGAAATTGCCACATATAACTGCCCAATGTGTACACCTACATACTTGACTTTTGTTGATTATATATAGCAGAGATATAGGGAAAGAAAGGCAGCGGGCCAGGGTATTTGCGATGTGTGTATGGTGGCATCCTGATTCAACACGCTCACCGTCGTGTCAGTCCTGCATTTAGTCACGTGAGTACTTGCTGTCAACGAGTGCATCATAGTGTGGAGGCGATTGAAAATGGCACTAGGACCCGTTATTATCCGGATGAATCCGGTTAATCATATCGCATAATCAGAACCCCCCTCTATCGCTCAGATTGGTGTGGCATGTATTGTAATGTTTTTTTTTAAACTGCGGTGAGGCGCATGCCAGAGGTCTATAGAAGGGGGGCCTTTTCCCTCTTTCCTCTTTACCCATCCTTGACTCGAAGCATCTGTGCAGCGCTCATTGCGACCCACATTGCAACCTCATAGCGACTCACACAACCTCATCGCGACTCGGCCAACCATGAGAACGCCGATGTGGTGGTGTCGAGGACCTTGACCGCCCGACAGCAACCATGACCAGAACCAGTGGCAACCAATCGGATCTGATAACAAAACCTACTATTATGCTGCCACATTAGTTGAGCTTGGCTGGTATGTATCGATGGCATTTCTTGCATTTCTTGTCATTGGGTCATCTTCTGACATGCAGTTTTTTTCTCTAGTCTCCAAGCCTTGTCACTGAACATCCTCCACCTTGCGAGTCTCCCCAATGTTGCGAAGACTCTGGCTTCAATGCCATCAAGAGTTCTGGATCAAGGCCTAGTAGGGACCGCATGTGGTGGTGGGCAGTTATCCGGTTAGAACCAACCGTTACGTATTGCGTGTATAATTGCGTAGTAGTAGCTTAGTTAGCTTTTCCGAACCGGTTGTCGCCGGTTTATTCCCTGGTGTAGTAGCTAGTGCCATTTTCTGTCACCTCTACACTAAGATACAAGTACTCAAGCAAAACAAACTCGCATTTACTCAGATCAACAAATGTGTTTCATATGGAACCGTTTCAAATTCCATAATGGATGTCTAATGTCGGAATGTTCTATCTGTTCGAGAAACTGCACCTTGGAGAGCTAGTATGTTACTCGGATGATGATGATGAAATTGAAAGAGCTTTCTCTGAGATTGCTTAGTTTCTCCACATCGAGCGGAACTTTCTAATGCTACGTCATGGCCTAAACCAGCAGGTGCATGCGTGGTTATGGCAACCGGTAATTTGTATCCGCTGGGTGAGCTTCTAAACCTGGCGAGACAATGGACATAGCCGAGGTTCGGGACAAGGTATTTGGGTACCTTTCTTATGTAGAACTCAAGCGCCTAGCTACGACTTGCAGAACATGGAAGACCTCCTCTGATTACGCTGCTGAAAAATTGCAGTGCATCCTTTCTTTTGAAGGACGCAAAGCATTGACTCTGTATCTGTCCCGCACAAACTACAATGAGGGAGGCGAATGGAAACATTACATTCCGCAAACCCCTGTAAAGGTAGATTGGAACTTTTTGTCAGTGCACATCAAGTTTCCCAATGGACGGGAGATCACTGGCATCAAGTTTCCCAATGGGCGGGAGATCACTGGACCGAAATTCGAGATCCTTCGGACTTATCCGTATGTCAGCCTGCGCATGGGCGGTGAAGAAGTCGGTAACATATCTGTCATTTTGGAAGACAGCTTTCGCTTGCGCTGGAAAAGATGGAACATGCACGACCTAACTATCGCGGCCCCTGGTAAAGCATTCTACTCGCCCGAATTGACAGCTGTTTACGACGAATGCCCAAAAGACGGCAAGACCATGGATGTTCTCATCAGTCCGGGAGACAACCGGTACATCAATCTCCTCGCTAGTGGATCGATGGAGGTGATGGACAGGCTTTCCAGTTACCATAATTTGTTGAATTTGGTCAGCCACTTGGAGCTCATGAAAGCCTCGGACGATGCCATTCGGCGCCGGAAGACGCAAGCAGTAGAAGACCTCATGAGGCCTAATGATCGCTTGGGTGCCGCGATACGTCGATACTTGCAGTGTGACGTTGGAAGTGCAGTAGATGTCTATGATACGTTGTCTAAATGGAGGACTTCGGGATTAAACACCATGAATTGAACAAATGCGTGTAGTCATGGTAACGATTACCACATCATTGAGCTGCTGTTGAGTTAGTGGTTCAGCTGTAAGTCATGGTAACGATTACCACGGCATTGAGCTGCAGTTGAGTTGTTCTGTTGATTTGTCAAAAAAACCCAAGTTGCTCAAATTACTAGACAAGTATCCCGACAAACCATTGGTTCTCCTTGAGTAGGCATCCCCGTGTCACCACGGAATACGTCGGATGCAACAAGGAATTTTCAAAGTAACCCGATACTGGTCACTTGAAACTGGTCTGGACGTTTGTGCAGGAGTGAACAAAGAGTGTCGAAATCACCATCAACCGCGTCGATGGTGCGCAAAGAAATCTTCCTCGTTTGTGGCGGATAGTAAGAGCGTCTGTAGTGAGATTGTTTACCATTGATCTCGTCTATTTCAAATTCTGCAGTAGGATACTTTTGCTTCAACTGAGCATAGGTTCCTCTGAACCCAAAGTCTGTGAAGAATTGGTGCATTCTATCCATTTTAGTTGACGTCGTCTGAACGCAAGCTAATCGACCTTTTCAGGGTACAACAAGATATTGTTGATGAAAATTCCTGCCACACTAGGTGTCCCATTTTGAATGTAACAAATGTACTTTTTTTCGACACAGAGAACAGGAATCATGTGTTATATACTTGTTTCCATCTTGAACTTTATTGTGGACGTGATTGTAAATATAGCCACTTTGATTGTGGAAATTGTCACGTTCCCCTTTCGGTTGCTTGCCGACTGCTTTGCCCGGTGCAGGAACGACCACGAGAACACGTCGATGGGGCTGGAATTGGAGAAGACGCAACTACTTTGGATCGAGAAAGGTGAGAAGTACGAAAATTTAGACTGAGATGACACTAAGCGCCGCTTTCATGGAACTGAGGAATGAGACGCCATTGCTCTTATCCATTTGGGCCAGATACGTCGTACCAGCCAAGATACTTGAACGTGGCAATACATTTCGAATGTCATTCACAGCATCATAGAACAAAGGATATTGTGCGCCAAGTAGTTCTACCATGGCTGGTAATCTATTGATGACAAGCGGGGTATTCCGTACCATGCATTCAAGGACCGTATTCACTGCCGTTGTTGCATCAAACAAGTTCAAGAACACAATGTTCTGGGTCAACAGCTTGTCATAGTCAGCATCCTGCAGAGTCGGTATGATAACGACACTCTGGTCAATGCCTTCCAAGATACCCAAACGTATGTAGATCACACACTAAAAGTTTTTCGGTGAACTTTTGGCGAACTTTTGACTTTTTTGCTTAGTGTTGGTAATGACAATGACCAGTCAAAATGCGTGTAATACAAATAATGGATTTCATGGGGGTTGAGATCGTCTTTCAATGCAGTCAGATTTGATTTCCTTTGTCGCTCAATCGGAATATTTGAAGCAGGATAATGGAAATGACACATACAAAGGATGAATTGTCAAGTTCTCAGCTCCAGGCGATTTGTGATCTGGAAATGACATTTTTAGTACAACAGAATGGGCCGAAAGGGTTACTTCGACAAAGGTAAAAAGAACTTTTCAAACGTTTTTAAAAGTTTCTCCAGATGGACCAAATTATAGTACACAGGACAAAAACACTGCAACTACGTCTTGCGACAGGAGGCGAAGTTAATGCGCCACCCCTAAGCCACTAAGCCTTTTTTTTAACTAACTAAGCTAAGTAAGTAATCACGGTCTTGTGTAGATGGGGAGTTCATGATGCTGAACAATATTCAGGGTGTTCTGAAGAATGAGGTGTACAGCGGCTATGTTCCTGAAACCAAAAAATACCAACGATTACAGGTTGACCGACGAAATCAAAATTTCTTTTCTCCTACCGCTCGTAAAACTTGTCACGACCACCGTGAGCTTCGGTATTTGAACAAGCGCTCACCCTCCACACCTCTCGACCTTCTTCCACTTCGTGTCGCTTCACCTTTTTATGGCATGTTGGACACACTTGGCTGGAGTTAAATTCGCGCCAGTAAGAAAGCTCAGCCTCACCCATCGATCGAGGTGGTTGCGGACGCCCCTTCTGAGGAGTTTTTCGAAACGCCCTTGGGGCTCGTCGCGCTGCCCGGCATGTTGTGGTGGAAATCACCGTCGCCCCAAATAACGACAAGATCGTTCATTGGAACTCCAGCAGGAAAGAAGCGGCGTAAGAATTCTCCCTCGGCTCTCTTAATACAGATGTGTCGGTCTAGTCTGAGTCGGCGTACTTTTCTCAGGCCCGTGAACTTCAGTCGCTTCGCCAATGTTCGATAGGTAAAGGCAACAAGTTGAGCATACTCAGCGGCACTGCAACGTCGGCTATAGTTTTGAGCATCCTTGTAAATTGACTTGATACCATATCGAGGATCTGCTTGCCATTTCTTACGCCACAACTCCCGTTTCCGCTCTCCTGTAATCTCCCGCCGATATCTTCTGCTGAAGAGCGCGAAGTGTCCATAGCTACTTCGTTTAGGCTTTTGACAACTCGCTTGTGGCCAGAACTGACCCCTTTCTTGCTTGCGTCTGCCACGCCACCTTGCATTTCGCTTTATACGTCTTTTCCTTCCTCGCGGTTTCGACTTCCTTTGTACCCAGCGTCTTTGCTTTCGGAAGCGATGGTGCTGACTACGATTCAGATAATAGGGTTGGTATTGAACTTGTCCATCCACGAGGTGCGAACCGATTTGGTAATAGCCAGCAGCAATGATAGGATCTTTGTTCGTATCCACCGAGATGATCACTTTGTTCAGTAGGTTTTCTGGGCGAACTTTTGAAAGCTCTGATAGCGTGGACGGGCGGATTCCAGAAACTTGATTGACAGATTCCCATTGTTCATAAGCTTTCCGGCGCGTACGATTCATGGTATTCACCAGCACCCCTGCACAGACACCGTCCGTCAAAATCATGTAGTGGAAGCTCCGGTCAGTATAGGCCCGCTCTGGATCAGGGACTACCTTTCCCACATCGAAGACGCTGCTCCAGACCTTTCGCCAGTGTTCTTGACCTTTTCCCCTCGTCCCCACCAGTCCACCAAGGCCCAGACTATCCAGCGTGATCGGTTGCCATGCGTCGCCAAATTCAGGGAGCAGAGGAAAGTCGTCAACGAGGCGACCACCTCGGTAGTCCGTCTTTGCGAGATCCTTTTGCTCATCCATGCTCTTCCCCTTCAATAGCTCGCGCCAACTGTCCCTCTCCTGCTCAAAGCGCTTACGAATCCGGTAGAGAAGATCAAAGTATTGCCCCCAATGCTCGTAAATGTCCTTTTCTTTGAGCGATATGCCTAGAAGAAAATCTCTTTTCGCCTCCTCAAAAGCTTCGGTGCTGACGGTTAACATCTTGCGCACGGATGCCTTTTGGACGTAGTGTTCTTTAGCGAATTTGCCCAGCGAAGGCAAGGAAACGTTTTGTTGTCTAATCGAATGTCTAATATATATCGACATTCCTATTATATATGTATATACATTGATATTTGTATATGTGTGTGCAGATTCTTTGCAATTCTGCCAATTACTGACTGCATTTTTCCTACCATACTCACCTTGATCCATAGTGCTGTTGTCGTCGCCGTCATCAGATTCTTTCACTCTCCTCCTCCTCCACAGCCGCGCTCTTGCGCCATAGTGTGCTGCAGAGAATATATCAACTTTTAATCGGAATAATTCGATTTACCTTTCACTCTGATGGCGTGCAAACTTGCCCCCATATTTTGATAATCTTTTCCACCTTTTGAACCTTGATCTATGAACGCAATGGAGCAAAGTTACATCGGAATGACTGTAAAAGCAGCAATGTATTGGAAATGCAAATCATGGACAAGGATCTTGCAATTTGAGTGCACCGCAACGAATTTGCAGATGCATACTAGACCTCCCTCATTACCAATAGCAGCAATGGTAAATTCAAGACAACTATTGCGCGCAAGCTTTACCTATTTTCTTTGTCAACAAACCTTGTCATGCCAGAGCAAAATCGAATAGTTAGCGTGCCTTAGCAGTCTTGTCCTGTCTTTGGTTTGGTGGATAAAGACAAATGGTGTCCTCCCCACTTGAAATGCACCAACTACTGCGCGCCAGCAATTCGTTTTCCGCGTCAACTTGTTATTATTAAATCTTATTGTCTGACTAGTCAACCATACTCAAGAATATTACAAACAAGGCTGTGACGTGCATCATTCTCTAAATGCGCCTTTCTAATCGCTTCAACGGCTAAGCCCAAACTCGATCGGACGGCGGGAGTAGGTGCTATTTGGTCTTGTTCTGTGTTCGGTAAACACGCCACTTCTGCTGCTATTGTTTGGTCGTGCCCACAAGGTGCTTCACGTTGCGCTTCTTGTTTCGAAGGTCGAGTTTCGCATCTACGGCTTCATTGACGGAATCTTCACTGAGGGCCACTATCTTGTGCGTTTGTGAAAAAAATGCATTGAATGTGGCCTTCTCGGCCAGAAGTGTCTACAAGGAACAAATAGTTTCAGTCCTTTCAAAATATGCCAGTTATTCTCACTCAGTTTCTATGTATTTGCTCTACGCTTGGGTCAAAGCCGGCACCGCGGTGCACAAGATCCCAGGTGTCCGCAGACACCCGAGGTGGGTTTGACCTAACTTGGGACCATCGCAATGGACTCCACCTCGTACAGTCGCAACGGATGAGGTGCCCTGCGAGCCACTGCCAAACCATGTATCATTTCACTCACCTGCGAGAAGATTGTAGTCCTGAGTTGAGCAAAAGTTACTGGGCCTTTGAGATCCGGTTCGCTGCGCTACCGTCTTCAGCGAGGTGGTCCGGTCCACCTCGCTGATACTACCTTTATGAACAAAAAGGAGTTACCCTGAGTTACGTCAGTCTTGTGCGACTGCACAATTACAACAGATGGCGCCCTACAAGCCCTATTGACTCTGAAAGGCCCATTCATTACCACGTTCAGTGGCTCTACGCTTCGGTCAAAGCCGGCATCGCAATGCATAAACACCCAGGTGCCCGCAGCCACGGGAATGACCTAACTTGGGACCATCGCAATGGATTCCACTCCTACCCCCGCAGCGATAGGACGTGCCCTGCGAGCACTGACAATCCATGTATCATTTCACTCACCTGCGAGAAGCAGTCCTCATCACCTCCGCCGATTCTCGAAGCGCTTGAGCAGAACACGGCTGCAAGTGGGACTAACTAAACAGGACCCTAACCCCACACCCTCT